GCATGCTGAAGTCTACCAGGCTGAGAGGCTGACAGGAAAATCCCAAGACAACCCTGCCTGGGCAGCAGGGTTCCCGGGGAGCTCCTATCTCAAAAGAAAAAAAAGCTGGGGGCACGGCTCAGTACCAAGTCCTTGGATTCAAACTGCAGCACCACCAACAGAAAAAAAAGAAAATGGACTTCAACAAAGAAATTTTATAAAGAACTCCTACCACTTAGCAAATTCATTCTTAGCTTGTACAGAATGAAGAAAACACAGGGCTGACATTTGTTATTCATGAGGAACTAACTGTGCTCACCTTGTTTGGAAGCAAATGGGTTATAGGAAGACAGCGTGCTGCTGCCTGGACGATGGTGTCCTAATTCCCTGGACTGCTTCTCGGCGGCTCCGGAGGCAGGCGTGCCAGCAGGCGGAAAGGAATGGGTCTTGAGCGCAGCACTAATAAAATGGGTCTACAAGGAATAAGATCACGGTGTCAGTTTGAAATGTCATCTGAGAGGGTCAGATGACAAAATGTACTTACTGAGACAACAGCAGACTTGAAATCGATTATTGTTTTAAAAGAAAAAAATTTTCAAAGTCAGATAATAGAAGGCTGGCAATGACTAATATACTGTATATTATTATCTTTAGATTACTGAGCCTTATTAGCAAACTTGAAACCAATTCTTGACTTTTTAAAAAAAATTTAATGTATTTGGTACTGGGTCTCACTATGCAGCTCAGACTCCTAGTGATCCTCCTTTCAGCCTCCCCAGCAATGGGATTACAAGCACACACCACCACAAGCCTGGTGAGCCTGGTCTCTGTCTCTGGCTCAGTGTGCCCGGGAGGCAGGGGCAGCGCAGCCTGTGGTATCAGGGATTGAACCCTGGTCCCTGTGCTTGTCCTCTGAGCTATCTCACTGCCACTCAATTCTCGAGTCTTGCTGAAGTTGCCCAGGCTGGACTAGAACTTGCCATTTTCCTGCCTCCACCCCCTAAAGTGATGGGATTACAGGAAAGTACCACAGCACGCAGGTCGAGCATGTTTATACTTACAAAGCTGTCTAAGTGACTCAGATGCACCCTCCCAAACTAAAAGCTGCTGGTGTAAACAAATTATTGCTTTAAAAAATGATCTAAGCAACACTTTCAAAAAAGGAAAAATGCCAGGCCTGGTGGTACAGCCCTCTAAAACCACCACCTGGGAGACTGAGGCAGAACCATTTCAATGAGTTAAAGGCCAGCCTGGGCTACACTATGGGTTCAAAGGCCAGCCAGACCCTGTGTTAAAAGAAGAAAAAAAGAAAAAAACTAACTCTCAGGAGAGAGCTTATAAAACTAGTGATATCTGAGTTTGAATACCCAGTCTCCGATGGGATGAAGAATAATAACTGAATCATGATTCAAGAAGTAAAGCTATATAATGTAAAGAGCTAACTGCAATCATAAAACTTAAGGTACAATGAAAGATGACAGACAGGGTGCCAACTGGCTTCATTACAGGTACCTGTATATCCATTTGCTGCTGCTGTAATTTTTCCAGGTGCCTAATGTGCTGCTCCATGAATACATTCATTTGCTTCTCATGGTCATGACAGTGTAATTTCTCTTGTTTATTCTGAATGTTTGTCTGTTGCTCTGTGACACGTTTTAAGTGTTTATCAGTCTCCTGTAATTTATTAAGTAATTCCGTAACAGAATTAACTTTTGCTTCCAAATCACTCTGCACCTAAAACAATAAAAATATCAGAATAGTATTTCATACTATAGAGATACCAAAACCATGTTCAATCACTAGGTTATTTACAGTAATTGTTATTGAGAATTATCAAATCAGAGCTTTTACCCATTACTTTTTGATAATCTGATGCCTTTTAGAGTCAAAGAAGTACATGCAGACAACAATCCTTACATATATGCTTTCTCTCATTTAAAAACACATACCAAGTTCACTACATAGAAATTTACAATGGAAAGCGGGGGAGACAGCTTAGCAGTCTAAGCGCTCGCCTGCCAAGCACAGAACCTGGCTTGAATCACTGGTATGCATGCCAGCCCCGAAGCCTTGGGTTTTCGGTGCTGGCTACCAAAACCAGGCGTGGTGGTACACACCTATAATCCCAGTGCTGAGGACACTGACAGGATGATCATTACGAGTCCAAGCTGTGGAGTGAGCCCCTATACCAAATAAATAAAAAGATTTTTTCAATTAAAAAAAAGAGGGGCTGGAAATATAGCTCAGTGGCATAAATACCTGCCTGGCAAGTGCAAGGTCCTGAGTTCAATCCCTGGTACAACAACAAAAGAGAGAGAGAGAGAGAGAGAGAGAGAGAGAGAGAGAGAGATCAAGATCTACAATGCAGAAATAAGATTTTTAGATGGAAATTAAAAGAGGAAGAAATAGCAGAACAAACCATTTTACCCTGTAAGGCTGAGTCAGGACAGCAGCGTTGAATTGTCTTAGCCCTGCCATCCATAATGCTTTGGGATACTTGATGGAAAATACCTGCTCCATGTTATGTCTAAGATGTTTGATATTCAGACATTGAGGTTAAGCTCAACTGCCTATGTTGTAGGGTGTAATGCTTTGGCTTTCCCTGGCCCGTGGCTTTGTTTCCACACTACAAACTGACACCGTACGTATATGTGATGAAAGCTTCCTTCCAGCTCTCAAATTAGGATGACCAATCACTGCAGTTGTGAGGACAGAGACTGTCACCTGATGTGGCCACTCAGTACTACACAAAGGAAAGCCTGGACTCATTAGTGCCACTGCAGTGAGGAGGGGGTCATTTTCACAACTCCTAAAATGACACACAAGCACAAAGGGAAAACTCTTTCAAACTACAAGCAAGTACAATGTCCCTACTCGACGCTGGACACAACCACTTCCAGAGCCCGTTCATAAAAACCTCTGCCATTTCACAATGCCTATGCAGAGGCGTGTCTGGGGAGAACAAGCACCTTGATCAGCGGAGCGGCCGTGGCAATGGCGGCGGCGGTTGCTGCGGCCACAGTGGTGGCGGAATCAATGCTACTGGGGGAAACTTTGGCCTCCTGAAGCGCAGCTCCCTTCTCTGTGCCTGTGTCTTCTAAAAGATGTACCTTCACTTCCTTAAAAACAGGCACGCTTTGTGCTCTAGAAAGAAAGAATAAAAATATATTCAGTAAGGCACACTGAACCATTTTAAGAAATGGTGGGAATCTGTTCAAGGTGGTTTCTTAATTTTTAAATATCAAATCATTTTTCAAACAAAGTAATTTTATTCAGGGGACATTTTAAGACGTAGTTCACAAAGAAATAAGAAATGAGATAATCCCCTGAAGGCAGTGACAGCTTCAGAAAAGATTTACAAATGAGAAAAAGGGATGAGCCAGACGTGGTGGTGCATGCCTGTAATCGCAGCACTCGGGAGGCTGAGGCAGCGTTGCGCAAAAACTGCATCAACAGCAGCCCGGAGCTCAAGAGAAGGAAAGATTATCTCATGATGGTGGACCACAGAGGAGTAGTCTCCGAAGTCTGAGGCGCAGATTATAAAGAGCTTGTCTTTTTTTATACAGTAGCAAGCAGAAATTACAAAAAACTAGCTAAGCTTAGCTGGAGGCCATGGTACAAGGGGCATCTTACCTTGAGCATAGTTGTATGTAGCAACGTTTTTTGTTTTTTGCACATTCACAGAAGTTTCAGTTTGATGTCAAAGCACATGATTTAGCCAAGTTCAATGACAGAGAACAGAATGGCTGCAGCTTTATTAAACAAAATGGCTGCAGTTGGAGCAGGATTTTTGCTTTAGCAGGATCACCATGAGTGCCAGGCCAGCCTGCACTGCACAGTGAGACCCTTTCCCCAAAAAGAATAAAGGATGGCCACAGTCGTAAAGATATAGAATCAAAATGTACAAATCTAAAACATGCAGAAAAAGCTCTAAAATGCAAATTCCATGTTTAACACTCTGAGGGATTTCTTTGTTCATAAAGCACTGATAATTCTATTCTCCAAAAATTTCTAGAAGTCTTATATTAGGAGTAGGGCTGCAGCACAGCAGTAAAGTGTGTGCTCAGCATGCACAAGGCCCGAGGTTCAACACCTAGCACAAAACAACAAAAATTAGCTGGGCCCGATGGTGGATACCTGCACCCTGGGAAACTGAGACATGGGAGATTACAAATTAAAGTACAGCCTGAGCAACTTAGTGAGAATCTGTCTCAAAGCAAAAAAGAAAGGGGGAGGAGGGTCTATCTCAGTGCCAAAGCCCAATAACACACATACAAAAATTGTGACATCAGGAGCCAGGGAAATAGCTCAGTAGAATAAGTGCTTGCCTGGCAAGCGCAAGGGCCTGAGTTCAATCCCCAGTTCCGCAAAAAAAAAAAAAAAATTGTGACATTGTTGATGAACACTTTGACTGTAACTTTTTCTATTGAGAAAATTAGACAAATTAAAATCATATATATTTAGAGTATATGCTTTGGTGTATGTTTATGTTGTGAAATGATAGCCAAATCTGTATCACTGACATATCCACCACCTCCCCCACACTTGTCTTTTTTGTGTATGTGGTGAGAACACTTAAGATCTTCTCTTTGAGCAACAGATTTTTTTTTTCTTGTCTTTTTCAGATAGGGTTTTACTATGCGGTTCAGCCTGACCTTGAACTCGCTTTGTAGCCCAGCTGACCTCAAACTCAAGGCAATGCTCCTGCCTTAGCCACCTCAGTGTTACAATTACAGCAGTGAGCCAGCACACTCGCCCTGATCCTAATATTAACTGTAGTCCCCACACTGTATAACACATCTCTAGAATTTATTCATCAAATTGAAATTGTATCCTTGCCCAACATCTCAGTCCTCTTTACTCCCAACCCCAGCAACTACCAATCTACTGTTTCCAAGAATTTCATGTCTTCATATTCCATATATAAGCAAGATTAAGTAGTAAACATCTTTTAGTGTCTAGTTTATCTCACAGAGTGCTAAGTCCCCAAAAGGGACTACAAAAACTTCTCAGTTAACTCACAACGTCACCCAGAGTTCATTACATGGCAGCAAAGACATCCTTAAGCAGCCTGGATCAAATATGACTTTGACAAATACATACACATACTTGAATAAGACATTTAACCCTTACTTAAAGCTGGTCACTGGTTCTGCATTTTGCCTCAAGGAAAACAACACAAGGAAAGTAAACTCAGGCAAAGAAGTAAAACCATGAGGAGCACAGGACCCTCCAGCCGCTGGATCCCCTCTCTGGATGTTTAAAGGCAGCACAGAACCCACACTTACTCCTCTTCGAGGCTTCCCCCCTTTACTAGAGCCTGAGTTCTGTCACCGCTTTGACTTGTCTACCTGCTTGTCTTCTGGTACCCAAGTGAATGAGGTTTCCCCAATTATTTCATCCCAATTGTGTGAAGTGTCACAGAGCTGTGGAGCTGGGGGAGCTACAGTGTAAGCTAACTGCCCATCTTTACAGGAAGACTTGGTTAGAGTCGCAGAGATGAGCCAGATGCCTGTGTCCCCA